TTTTTTTTTTTTTTTTTTTTTTTTTCATTTTGTTATTTTCTTTAATGTTTTTAAAAGATGTATATTTATATTTTTTAAAATAAATTCATAAATATATATATGAAAGTATTTTTTATATCACATATAAATTTTGGGTCTTTAAATGTTTTGTTCTTTTATTTCATCTATAAACTTATATTTTCATTTATAAAAATAAAAATTTTAAAGATATGAACTATGCTTTTAATCTTCTAATTAAAAAAAAAAAAAAAAATTTACATTAAAATGAACGTAACATATATAAAAAATTATCTATTTATTTTATTTTATTTTTTTTTTGGATATTCTTAAAATTTAACTAATAAAAATGTATAAACTTCTTAATTTATGATTTGGTGCTAATTATATATTTTATACACTTCTTTTTAATATCTCCTTTTTTATCGTAATAATTATTTGTATTTAAAATAATTTTTTACAAAATTCTTTATATTTTACATATAACTACTAATTATGTCAAAAAAGGTATTAAAAGGAAATTTCAAAAAAAATAATTTAAAAATGAATTTACTTTAAAAAAAAAATATTCATTGAAATTGAAATATTTTTAAGATTCATTTATATATGATAGAATCCACTTCTTTATAAATTGAAGATTTTTTTCATATTGTTCTAAGTCGTTATTTTCTAATTCATCAAAAATATTAGAATTTTCATAATAGTCAAGAATATCTTCTTTTATAACTTGAAATATCTCACATTCAATATTATTTTTAATTTTTGCTTCACTGTAATTTCTCTTTTCTAGACGTTCATATAAATTAGAAGTTTTAATAGTTAACAAAAATATATGATCAATTAATTCCTTTTCTTCAATAAAATTAACATCATGAAAATCTATTATGTAACCACCATTTTCAATATTTAATTTTTTTAATTTTTCATTTACTAAATCTTCATTGTAAATACTTGCCTCTAATTCATCATCATATTCTTCATATAATCTTTCTTCTTTTATTATATTTGATAAATTTAAATGTTTCATTTTCAAATTTTCATTTTTTTTAATTTCTTTTATTTCTTTATTAATTAATTCTTCTAATTCCTCACACAAGGTACTTTTACCTACACCAGGAACACCTGTTACAATTATGTTTGGTAAAATTTTCATTATTTAATTATATATATATATATTTTTTTTTTTTTTCTTTTACTTTATATTTTACATAATATTTCATCTTTTTTTATTTTTTTTAATTATAATATTTTTTTATAATATTTTTTATTTTATAGCTACATTAATTTTCAAATGTTCAAATATTCTATGTTGTTCAACTTAATATTTATTACNTCATATTTTTTTTTTTTTTAAATTATCATTTATAATCATACTATTTGATCTAAATTTTTAAAAAAGCATGCAAAAAAAAAAAAAAAAAAAAAAAAAAAAAG